AGAGAAGAAAAGAAAAGAAAAGATGATACCATTGATGAAATTTTCTCAAGCCATCAGGGATGGTGATTAAGGTTGGGAATTAGAGAGAGACTTATCATAATGATTATGTTCTATCTGGTATGTTAGAAATGCTAATCCAAATACCCTCCAACACCATTCTAAGAGGTCCTCGTCCAAAGCATAATCCATTGAAATCAAAGTTATCCCCAAGGGCTGTATACACTTGTAAGCAAATTTTGTTTTCTATGCCAAATCTAGGGTTCAAGTTTTAAGGTACTAGCATATAAGAAAATTATTTTTTTTTAATGTATCAGTTTAATGTGAAAGTACACACTTAGAATCATATGGAGAAAGATTAACATTGAAATATGTGAAATTTGACTCAAAGACATTCTAATTGGTAAATAATTAAAAAAGAACAAATTCATCCGATCCCTAGCCCTTGCTCTCCCTGCTCCTATCAACCGTAACACCGGGGAATCATCAGCTCTAAATCAGATCAAGCAAAGCAGAACCCTGATCTTAACCTGCACAACCCCTCCTCACAACCAAACCTAATCTTAGTGAACAACCATCGGTTAACACCGTCTTTTCCTCGTCGATTACCACTAGAAACACAAAGGGAACCAACTTTCACCAGAGAAGGGAAGAAAAACTATACAGACAATGTCATGACTCACAGTAGCATAGCTGGATTAACCTCCACAACCCTTCCTATTTAAACACAAAATTAAGGGTTGGATGTGCGAGGGAAAAACATACTAATCGGCCTTATCAACAATAATTTCTAATATCCTCTAAAAAAACAATAATTTCAAATAACGCGTTTGCCTAATTATTCTTTATTTTTTTTTATGTAAATAAGATTAATGTACTTGACTAACTCCGACATTAGAATTAGAGTTTTATAGTTAGTGATTATCAACTCGACCATATTTTGCTCTCAATTATTCTTTAAATGAATTAAAATTAATCTAGATTCTTCTAACACTTGCTTGACGTATAACAAAAGAAAAGAAAACAATCAAAATAGGAGAGAACTTGATTCAAATAAATATGCGAATGCAGACTTTCTTTCCATATCTTTTTTGATATAAAAATTATAATTGAAACAATAGAATTTAAACCAAAAGCATCTATATATTCTGTATTAGCTGGAAGTTACTAGTAAAACCAAAGTACACCTGTGAATATATCCATGTATAGAATTTATTAAAAAGAAAAAGATATATACCATTGCTCATTGGGCACCCCCTAAATTCACACAATCTAATATGGTTGCGCAGAGAGTGGGGGAAAAGGAATTGCAGAAAAGTCCGTCCCCTCTTCCTCTTGATAATCCGTCGTCTTCTATACAAAATTTATGGGGGGTATTGACTATGGGGAAAGAAAAGTGACAGGGCCTTCTTTGAACTGTCATTTTCCTATATATACTCTCGAGGTAGTAACCCAAAATCTATCTCTCTTCCCCTCCCCAATTTATTCCATCTTTTCTTTTTTATCATTCTCATTTATCATTCCCACACATCACACATCCCTCTCTCCATACAAGTATGTCTGTTCCTTGAAGAGGAGAAAAAGTTTTTCTTTTGCCTTTAGCTGAGCAGCTCCCTACCTCCCTCTCTTTACAACCCACAATTCCCCTTTTCTTTCTTCCTTTCTCTCATCCTCTTTATTATTGTTTTGGGGTTTGATTTTTGGAGAATTAAGACACTACTCATCGCCTGAAGAAGAATAAAAATGTCCCATAAAGGGGATTTCTTCGGAGAACAGTCTTTGAATCCGATTCCTGATCTTTCCCTTCATATTAGCCCTCCAAATAGTGCTCCTTCTTCCATCTGCACTGGCACCAACGATTCTTTCTTTGATGTATGGCGCAAAAACAACCCTCTGAAGTCCCACAGTGACAGTTCCATAAAACCTGGTTTTCAAACCGACACAGACCTCTCCTTAGCAAATCCTGCTTTGGAAGCTGAAAGCAGTCCCCGTCCCTGGCCGAGAAATATAAACCAGGGGATCTCTCTGCTTGATGTTTCGGGGCTTAAACCCATAAAGGGGATTCCTGTGTACAACAACTGTATGTTCCCCTTTTCGGGTTCGGATTGTTTACCCGACCTAGATCCTAACAGGCTGCGGTTTTATCAAGTTCCATCTCCAGGGACTCCAGCTAATTCTGCAGTCTTGCATTCGGCTGAGGCGTATAGGATAGGAGGAAGTGCACCTAGGTTTAATGGGATCTCCATGGAGACAATAAGACCCCAGTTTCAGTTTAACCAATATGGGGCGTCTCTGGCTTCTTCAGAGTTTTGTAATGGTATGATCAGATCGAGGTTTATACCTCCCAAGTTGCAGAACAAGAGGAACATGAGGGCTCCCAGAATGCGTTGGACCAGCTCTCTTCATGCTCGTTTTGTTCATGCTGTTGAGCTTCTCGGCGGCCACGAAAGTGAATCTCTTTCTTTTCTTTCATTTTCTCATATTACTTCATTTCTTTCCACAAACAAGTCAACAATATAAAATATAATTACCTATTACAGATGCCGAACCCAGAATTAAGTTTGATCTCTGGTTGTGTTGTTTTGGTTTTGGTTTTACAGGAGCAACACCAAAGTCGGTTTTAGAGCTAATGGATGTGAAAGATCTGACACTTGCTCATGTGAAGAGCCATTTACAGGTATTAATTGCTTGAAAATTTTTAATTTTTACTCTCAAGAACTCAGGCAGCATGCACCCAGATTCAGGTCTTCAGGCTGGCCGCTGAGGGAAGACTTTTGTCTATCAATCCCTGGCACAAGAGCCAATGAGTGCAGTGAATGAATGAATAGTACTTGTTCTGAAACAGGACAAGTTAAACTTTTAAGACAGAGATGAATAGTAGTAAGAAGAGGGAGAGCCATCATTTCTCAATAATACAAAGCAATTACTGATCTCACCCAACATCAATCTCGTGGTTAATAAACAACTCAACCAAAAAAAATTCATGTGATTTGATATATTTGACCTCACTCAATATTTTTTTAAAAAAATTTTTGTCTGCTTTTGGCTCACAGATGTATAGAACTGTTAAGAGCACTGACAAACCTGCAGCTTCATCAGGTAATTCGTATTGTTTATATTAACTGCATCATTTTGACCTAATTAATTCCTTCAGCACACAACCTTCAAGATTCTCCTCTTTTTCCACACAGATGGATCAGGAGATGAAGATTTTCTGTCTCCCAGAAATACCCCAACTCCATCCAACGGTCCAAATTTACCTACAGAGCATGACATTAATCTTTGGAGCAACTCTTCTAGGTAAGTACATATATCATGATAAATATTGGTTTTGCTTTTTTCTTTCTTTCTTTTTTTTTTTTTTTTTTTTTGCATAATTTCATAGGTTATTACCTTTTTTTTGGAGATAATTTTAGATTTATGGATGCATGTTCTTGTCTCCTATGCATGGATTATGGATAGCTTTAACTATGGGGAGAAAAATAAAATGCACGTCCTTATTCCTTACCTGCAACTAAAAAGTGCTACTTTATAACAGCTTTTGCTTTTGAAAAATTTTCCTTTGCTTTCTTATGCTTTTTTTTTTTTTTAAGTCAGGTACAAGGCCTAGCTTTCCACATATTAAGAAAAAAATATAAATAATTAATTATGAAAACAAACCTAGTAATTCGAGCACGAGAGGTAAAATGCAGCTAAAGTCTGTCGAACAACTTCTGGATGTGCTTTTAAGTTCTTTATCTTGTATATATCTTTAATTAAAGTTAGAAAATAGCAGTATTATATATAAAATGGTAATGCAAGGAAATGCGTAGCTATGTATGGCAACCCTAGCTGAGGGCTTAGGTGATGAATGTAACTAGTTGTTTTAGATCAAATTAGCTTTTGTTTTCTGTTTTTAATCGTTTTTTTTTTTTTCTTTGTTTTATACTTTTGGCAGTAAGGGAATTGTATTCTTTTTATCAACCAAATGTGAAATTAATTTAAAGGGAGTATAATTATTGATGCTCCAACTCTTACAATAGTACGAATGTTCAAGAATTCACAATATAATAGAAAATTGAAACCAAAACAAAGTGATTGGGAGCTCAAACAAATCTTTTATTTCTTTTTTAAGGTTAAACAAAATTTTTTTTTATCAAACAAAAAGGAGACCAGCTCTCTTGAGATTTTCTTTCTTTTTTGGTGTAGTTAGTGTGAGGTTTAAACATTTGATCTTGACTCATTAAGGTTTTATAGTTAATTTTTCAAAAAAAAAATTTAGAGTTAATGGGTACTAAACTCTTGTTGATATTTTAATCAAAAGATCTTAATTATTTTTAGATAATGTATTGATCTTAATTGAGAACTCACTATATTTTTTCTAGGGCGACAAAGGAAACTTGTCTAGATAATGTTAATAGTCAAAAGGAAAATTTATATAAGTTCAGTTTATAATTTCTTTTTCAGAAAGGAATGTTCAAATTCTCTCCTCACTAACTAAGCGTACGTCCTATGATAGTTTATATCCATTAATCAAAAATAGATCACATTATATATGAAATAGTTTCTGTTAAAAACAAAACAAACATTATTGAATATAGTTGATGTAAAATACTTTTTTCTTGATGCAATAAATAAAGGTTGAGTTGTGAGGAATAAAGTATATATTCAAAGAAATACTATATTACTGTGATCTGAATCACCAAGTGATGGATCTCTCTTTGTAATTTGCTCGTTATGGGTTTTAAGTGACAAACCCTTTATTGTTGACAGTTGACCAATACGGTTTTGAATCAATTTTACGTCTAGCGGGGTCGAGTAATTCGAACTGAAAGTAGTGGACCAGCAGGTACTTTTGACTAGAAGAGCACCAAGGGAGAAAAGTTCCTTGGATATATATATATATATATATATATATAGATGACCAATTCTAGCAAAATAAATGAACCTTTTTCTCCTTAAAACTTATCTTCTGTAAGTTCTACAATGGTGAAGAATCACAAGCTAATTAACAACTTGTGTCCAGACTAGTAGTACAAGAGGAAGCGAGCTCTAATTAATCATACATCACAGACTTAATAATAAGCAAGTGATTGATACGTAACGAAAAGTAATAAGAAAGAAAGTGATGAATGATGATAGATAAATTAGTAGCTTGTAGTCAAACAAGCTAATATTCTCAATATATATATATATATATATATTAGCTAGCTTGTAGCTTTTGGTGTAAGGGCATGTTTTGCAGACCTTTTAAGCAAACCCTTTGCTCTCTCACATAAATTCAAATTTGTTAGGGGAAATTTTGATAATGACTTTTGTGTTAAGTTGTGGGAAAGTTCTTTTCTCCTTACACATGAAAGTTTAAAGATATTTTAATATTTTCACAAATTAATATTTTAATAAATAAAGTATAAAATTGGTAATTCCTTCATTTATTTTTAGTAGATTTAGTTTGATTTTTTAACTTTTCAAATATAAATTTTAAATAAAAATTTAACATATTATATAAATGATAATTAAATTTTTTTTTATAATATAGAAGTACATAACAAAAACTTCATATATAAAGAAAAAACCTTTTAATTTTTGTTTATATAAATTGTTAAATTGTTATTTAAAATTTATATTTGAAAATTAAAAAAGGCAAATTAGATTTATTAAAAATAAATAGAGAGATTTTTTTTTTTGCTTTTTGTCTGACACAATTTTCCATAAACAATATTTTTTTCTCACATTTTTTAAAAGAAAAACTTTTTCCCTAACTTATTCAATGTGGGACTTATTTGACTACTTTCTTCTAACTTTTTCAATATTAACTTCTTACCAAATATATAAAGTTTAAAAAAAAAATTATCAAAAAATTTATCAACTTCTCAAAACTTACTTATAAGTGACTTTAAAAAGTTATATTCAAAATTTCCTTCCAGTAAATTTGAAATTTTATAAGAGAGCAAATGACTTATAAGCAAACTTACCTATAAGCTCAGCCAAGATGTTCTACTACCTGTTTGGTTTGAGAGGTGGGGAGGAAGAGAAAATTAATATAAGCAATTAAATTATTTTGTTAGCTCAATAACTTAATTTAATTGGTCAAAATAAGGCCACCTCTCTTTTCTCCGTCCCTCCCTTCCCTCCATTTTCTCAGATCAAACAGGCTATAAAACTTTTACAAATAAATTTTTAAATTTGATAATTTTTATAATTTTTCAAAATTTTTATAATTATTTATATGAAATAATGATTTAGTATCCCTGTAATTATTTTTTTTATTTTTATTCTTTTAGATCTTATAATTTTTAAATATTTTTTAATCCTATAAATTTTAATTTTTAAATTATTAAACCTTAGTTAAATGTTAAATATTAAGCCCTAAGCTCTAATAATATAAACCCTAAATCTTAAAAATTAAAACACTAACCCCACTAAACCCCAAACAACTCTAAACTCTAATCCATAAAAAATCTAAACCCTAACATCCTAAAAAAAACCTAAATCCTAGTACTCTAAACATTAAACCCTAAACAAATCTAAACCCTAAACTCCAATACCTTACAAGTTGAACCTTAATTCTAAATTCTAAGTTTAAATTGTTAAAGTAACTAAGAAAAGTAAATGGACTAAAATCAGTTTAAATTATTAATATCAGGGACCAAATAATAATTTAACCTATCAAAAAAAAAAAAATGCAAGGGTTGTGCCATGTCCTGTTGGGTTGATTATGGTCATCAATTTACTTGTTAAGGTCACTAAAACCGTGTTGAAAAATATTGATTTTATTTTATTTGATTGTTAATAATAACTAATAATTGATAAAATAACTAATATTTATTATTAATAAATTGAAATCATTTTATAAATTGATATTTCAGATATTATAACTATATCTGTTTAAGAAATATTATAAATATTAGATATATTCAATACAATTTTAATGATCTTAACCAGTGAATTATTGGGCATAACTACACTCTGTCCCGTCCGTTCCTTATCAGCTTGAGGGCAGAATTATTCTTATACAAAAGCTATAGTTATACCAACAAATTAACTCAACATTATTCCATTGTCATTCTAACATTGCTCATTACAAGTTTTGTACTCCCTAATGAGGTTGTTAATTATCTGTCCATATATATAACGAACTCTCAGCTATCTCTACATGTAATTTTAGGTAACAGTTTTATATGGGGCATATAAATGACAATTGCTTTTTTTTTTTTTTTGATACATTATAATTGTTGTATAGTTTTTTTTAATAAAATAAATAAATATCCATCTTGGGGTCCAAGAACTGAGCCTCAAAAAAGACAAGGTGAGGATACTTTCTTATAGAGGCTTTGTTTGTCTGTGCCACGTGGTGTTGGGTTGAAATGTCGCTATAGTAGTAGGCCTTTTTTGTCTTTTACTATTCAAAATATAATAAAATATTAATTATTAGTAAAAGTATATAAAAATTTATTAAAATCAATTTAAAATTATAAATATATGTTTTTATACAAAGTGTTGTATAAAAAAGATCTATATAAGCATTTGGCCTTTCGAATCAAGTGGCTTTCGATTCACTTTAGAGGTGCAGTTCTCCTTCTTCTGGTAGGTTCGAAATTCAAATCCCATCTTGTCACTTTGTTAAAAAAAAAAAAATCTATATAAAGTAAATAGAAACTAAGAAACTAAGAGAGGATATACGCAAGGAAAAGGCATAATAATTATTTCTTAAAGCATAAGATCATATCTTTATTAATAGCATCATCCATATTTCCATTTTCGGTTATGAATATATATATATATATGTATGTATGTATATATGAAGGAAAATGATTCGTTTGTCCTCTAGTCAATATATTTTTTAATATTTGCTTGGTTTATTTATTAAAATATAATATAAATACAATTGATTCGATGAATTATATATATTATATATAATTATATTTTTAAATTTTCTTTTAATTTCAAATAAAAAAGTAATTTTTAATAAACATGTTGTATAATGTGTTAAATCAAAAAATATATTAATTATTATCCATATAAGATTGCACAAGGCAACCATTCTTTTTTTTTATTTTTTTAATTTTCAAAAATATGGAAATGATGACAAAGAAAACGCATTTGATGAATATATTACCCCCTTTTTGTTTATTTTAATTGACCTAGTTTAAAATTTTGACTTTTTAAATATAAATTTTAGATAAAAATTTAATATATTATTTAATTAATAATTAAATTTTTTTATCAAATAAAAATACTCAACATTAACTACATATAGAGAAAAAAAATTTCAATTATTATTTATATACATTATTAAATTTTTATTTAAAATTCATATATTAAAAGTCAAAAAATCAAAGTAAATCTATTAAAAATTAATGGAAAGAGTAATAAAAACTAGAGAACTAAAGGGTTGCCTTGTGCAATCCTGTGTATATAAATCAACAAATTACGTAAAAATATATTAATGAATAAATTAATATATAAATTCATAAATTTATTTAATAAATATTGAATGTTTTAAATTCATTTATATATACTTATCTGTTACTTTAATGTTTTAAACACCCAATAAGGCCCATAGTTTAATATTAATGTTTTGGCCCTATTACATTGAGTTTTGAATTTGAACCATGCCTCTATAAATAAATAAATATATATATTTTTTATTTATATTGTTATGATTAATTAATGTAAGAAAAATAATTTGTACACTCTAATTTGATATATCTTTTGACATTTATTTAATTTAGTTACTAAAATATAATATAAGTATAATTAATTCAGTTGGTTCTTACATACGATATGCATGATTGTATTAAGTTTTTTGTCTTTAATTTCATATTAAAAAATAATAATTTTTAATAAATATATTATGTAATATACTAATCAATGTCCTTAACATAATTTGGAGACTTGAGTGGTGCCGTATGGTTCCGCTTGGATTGATCTAAATTTGTCGCATGTGTTATCAATTTTTTTTTTTTTTTGTTCCCTTTCAACTTTATTTTCAAATTGTTGGTTATGATACTAAATAATACCTAAAATTAATTATTAAGGGCCCGGATGGGCGGTGGGAAGGTTGCTTCATTTGTTTGAGGTGCATTTGAGAATCTATGTGTGGGCTTCAATTTTCCAAGTATTTTCAAATTAACCATGATAAAATGTTTATGAACAGTGATTAATATACACTTGATTCAATATATTGAACAATACACCCATTATAAAATCATTATTTTTTAATTTAAAATTAAAAACAAATAAATTTAAAGATACAATTATATATACATGATACAGAAACCAGTTAAATTAACTATATTTATATTATATTTTTAATAATTGAACCAAAAATGTGTTAGAAAATGTGTTGAACCGACTGGGTACCAATCATTTTCTGATTCTTTACTTTTTGTTATCAACAAAACAAGTGAATTTTACTATGCTAGTAGAAGAGATATTCCTAAAAATCTTATAATTAAAAAGCTTTTAACTTAATTTTGTTATTTATTTCAATAAAAAAAACTTTTATTTTAAGAGCATATTTAATTTGAGAAAAACGGAAAGCTCTACTACTCTAAATTTTTTTATTTAAATAAGTGATTTTTGGTCCAATAAAAAATATGTGCTGCACTTCCCTCTTCTCTTCTCTCTATTTTTACAAATAGCATTTCAAACATTAATCAATTTCATTAAAAAATTTTTTAAAATTTGGTAAAAGATTCCAATCATACTTACCCTAAAGCCTGAACCTCATTTTTAGAAGTTAGTACTAGAAAAACACATCTGCATAAGCCTTTTTATAGAGCTTCGTTATCACCTTCAATATATCTAGTTCTACACATTTATGAATTTCCTTTTTCGGCTACGACAGAAATTTTGTGGATTTAATGGAAAACCAGGAAAAAGCAGAATTTGTTACTTCTCCATGTGGCCAAGGGAATGTATAGAAAGGGTGCATTGATCCACATTAAATTTAACTTTCTCGTTAATTATGCACTTTATATGAATTAATACTGAGCAACAAAACGTACCCAAAAAAAAAAAAAATACTGAACAAATGCATCATAGACAAGACAATTAATATACAAGATGATCTAGAAAGTTATACATGTGCATAACTCATGTGGGAGACTAGCACCACTTCATAACCCAAGGTTGGATTTGTTTGTTGGGGAAGTATGTTGTCTTTTGGTTAGGTTCAGGGTTCAGAATTAAGTTCACTAAAGCTTAATATTAAGGTGTGCACTTAAAATAGCTAAAAAGAATTAGACTCATCAGGATGCACATACTATTCCACAATATATCTTGAAACCATCCAAACTATGAAAAAAAGAAAGGAATCACTTCAAACCACATAAGCTTAGTGATTATTATTATTATTATTGGTTTGGACAGTGATGGTATTTTTGGTCAGTTTTTACGTGCATTTAAGATTAGCGCTTTTTTTTAGTGATCTTAAATATGCATCCTTTACATTGATCTTATATATTTAAAAAACTTAATTTTTTAAATGTTAACCCAAGATTGAAATTTTGAATTTAATCTATAAAACAACATTTACTTATCAATAAATTTAACATATGAGGTTTTTTTATTTATAAAAAAAACATTTTTAATCAACAAAAAATATTTTATTGTATAGTTACAAAGGGTGGGCCGCGTTCTTTCCTTTTATTCATAAGGAAAAAAATTGCAAGTCACCGACAATTAATAAAAGATATTAGTTTAGATGGTATCCTTTATAATAATTGCACTAAAGTCAGCACCAATAAAGTCTAATGGCCCATTCTCAGGGACAAAAAACGAAAATAACCAGAGAAGGCAACTTTAACGATATATATATATATACGTGATAATTTATTTTCTTTTTCCTCTCTCCCTGTTGCATGTAATTTCTCTCGGATAAAGGGTGTCCCTGTCCTTTGGTCCATGGAGGCACTTATCCTTTCCAATTTTAAATCCAGGCTCTAGGGAAAATATTTTATTTTATTTTATTTTATTTTTTTATGTGTCTATGGGAAAAATATTTTAGGATATACAAATGAACCTGCAAGGAATTTAAGTGAAGAACTTGGCATATGGTATGGCCATCCTAACTCAAAAATATTGCTTGGATAAATTGACAATGATGTTTAAATAGAGTACCTAACTAGGGTCACCAAACCCAGACAAAATTATATAAACACATCAAATATTAGATTTATTGTTTGGAATGGGATTAGTTTCGATAAAGTGTGCGAAAGCTGGTTTGAGACAATCTTTAAAGTAAAATTAATACTAAAAAAAAAAAAATCAAGTATTAGATCTCTGGTTGCATATGTTATTGCCATTCTGTCATATTCCCCGTTAATTAAAACTAGCCTAACCATTTGCCATTTTCCTGTTTGTCCAACTAACTCCCTCACTAGCATTATCCTCTCTGCACTAAAGTCTGAAACTAAAGTCGAATGCACACCAAAACGTAACTTAACATTATCATTGTCATTTCAAATTTCAGTGTCTACCAGTTACGGATTTGGTTACTGACGCGCGCTTGCATAACAAGTTGTTTTATATAGGAAAACTCTTTGAGCATACTGCATTCTGTGCTTTTGTTCTTCTCTATATACTTTCAATTGCACCTCGTAAAGAGAATGGTGAAATATATATATATATATATATATATATATAGCTTAATACATATATTTTTATTTATCTCTGTTGCAGTGGAGGAGTTTGGTTGTCTCGTTCAAGGAATCCAGATGGACTTCGTCCAGAAACCGTATCATCTCAGCAAACAACACGAAATCAGTTTGAAGTAAGTCACCAAATCAAAGCCGCTTTGTCTAAATATCCATAAAGAGTAGTGTGTTTTGCATTCAAAACTAATCAGACTGCAAAGCACAAGTCATTGAATGGGAGGGCTGCGCCCGGCCTGCATTCAAGAAGTGCCCTCATCTGATGGTTTACATTGTGCAGTTGCAGTCCAAATTGCACAAAAGTTTTCCCATCTATACCCCTTATGTTCTACAATATATAAATGCAGGGTAGCAGTTTTGCTCAATCAAAGAGCTTTACTGGGTCGAACTCGGATCGCCACCATAATCCAAGCTTGGAGTTCACCTTAGGAAGATCTGACTGGCAGAGTAAAGAACATGACTGAGTTAACTGATTTAGTACACTACTTAACTTTCAGACTGATAAAACCTAAAATGGGGAAAGAAAACAAAACAAGGGAGATAGGGACATTGGCACAGGCCCTAGCTAGTCATATCTCCAGAAGTTAGGTATGCATATGTTTATGCCTGTATATTGATGTTTTTCGGTCTAAATTAAGCTGCTGATCGATGCTGGAGATGATGTGATGTTAGTTATGATCAAAACAAGAGAAAAGAAAAAAATGAGATATAATATTGGTGCATCTTATGGGTAATATATTCTACTCTAATTTTTCTCTTTAGTGGGGTGAGTTGAGAGTGATTGGTGTGTGAAAGCTTGACATTATTTATCTCTTTATTATGAGAAAAGGCAATGGAAAAAGGCATTTTGGGTGTAAAGACATGGAGAATATTGAATTCATGCATGCATAAAAGAGTTCCTTCTTTAGTTTTAAGATGCATGGTTACTAGGACATCAAAACTTTTAAGAATTCAGAATGGAATTGTGTTGGCATTACGGGGTGCAGGTTGTCCCACCTCAATCTGAAGCTTTTGTGTTTTTTCAAAATTGGCGAAAACTCTTTAAATCTTGGGATAGATATGATTCCATCAACTTGTTGGATCTTTTTGCATCGATCATTTCCATCTTAATTCGCTTGCATATATAATTACTTTGTGGATTCCATCTATGTGATTGCCTTCATTTCTACTGTAATGGGAAGTTGTATCATTGATTCTTCAATATCTGCTTTATTTTGATCCACTCCAGTTGCCAAAAACGAAGATAAATCTGATAACATTGTTGACATAAGAGAAAACACAGCTGAATCAGACATACTCAAGAGGACAACTAAATTGGAAGATGTAGAAACAGCAAAGAATAGATTTTCAGAATCACCACCAAGGGAAATGCAATACATACAAACATGATAGATCTAAAGACAGGCATCTCAGTTCAGTTTCCTGTGTCTGTGAGCTCACATTCTAAAATAAATGACACCACACGTAGCAAAGGTCTCATCCAATCCTACATATGATCAACAAAAGCATCACGCATGGCAAGGAACTACATCCCTGAATACTATTTATACATAAAGGCTTTACGGCTTAATTGTTCTACACTACAACTTTAACAACCAGGTCTCCCATCATTGTTTTGGCTTAACAGTTGGGACCAAGAAGAGAAAGCAGAAAAGTCCTGTAATTGCCTGATGTTTCTGAATGAACTGCATCATTCAGTGTCCTTTTGTATTTCTTAAGGTACTCAGCCTTTATATACTGCATATCAATCTCAGTCCTCGTCACGATTATCCTTATAAGTGTAGAGTCATCTGTTCCCAGACCTTTCATTGCCTTGTGCAACAACTGAAATGGTTTAATAAAGAGAAATTTTACCATCAGTGTTAATAATGGTAACAGAAGGAAAAATAGAAAATCTCCCCATTCCACACCAGAACCCAAAACAAATAGTAAAGAAAAAGTGAAAATGAGGCTCTGAGCGTCTAATTTGTCCAACAAAAAGATGACGTGTGTAAAATACAAGAGTTAATTCAACATCCAGAATCACAAAGAAAAAGAGGACAGAAAGGAGATGAGAACTAAATCATCATGAGGATTGTCTCATAATAAATAATGAAACTGCCAGTAGGATTTACATGATGGAGTAGGACATTGGAAGCATATTTCATGGAATGCATTCCTAATGCCCTCTACCTACATTAACTAAGAATCCAATTCTGATTAATGCATACATTTTTCATGTCAAGTACTCAGCTCTCATAACAACCAGTGCATATATGCATATCCATAAGCATTTAAATGTATAGATACTATTCATCGTTCTCTATCTACATTATGGCTCTCAGGTAAGAGTAGAGGTGATATATACCAATCGTCCATTAACATTAATTATGATCGTACAATGTAATGCATGGTGCTAAGCAACAATAAAAGTACAGAAGAGGTTGAAAATAGGGCATTCAAGCAATATCATTCATATCTTGTATTTAAAGAGAATGAAATGTCCCTCCCACACCATTTATACAAGAATGTTGCTATATATCATAGTTTCTTTTATCAAATACTCCACTGTTGTAACAAAATGCAGAAGTTGAAAAAAAAAATGAGAGAAAAAAAAAAGAAGAAAAACTAGAAATTAGAAAACAAAAAAGTTACCTTTGCAAAGTACTTTGCAGGATTCTCTGAACATACTAAAATAGTCAAGAGAGCTTCCTCAAACTTTCCTGATGTTTCCTTCTTCACAGCCTGATAGCAATTTCATTTGTCAATCATCATAACAAAAATTTAAGAGATGAGAAATTCTGAGATAAGAGATGAGCAAAAGAAAATCTACCTTTTTCAGTGTGCGATCATACACTTCATGATAAGCAGAACTGATGGCTACTAGCTGTGCCCTACTTCTTTCGCTGAATATTTGGATAAAAGTCTTCTCATCAGTTCCCAATTTCTTTTCCCCCGCTTTATAGAGGGCTTTTGCATCCTTCATTGCCATCTCTCTGTCAACTTCTGGACCTTCATAACGGGGAATGCTCACATATGCAAGTAACAGCTACAAAAGGAAAACAAACTGTGATATCAGTTACGTTACAAGTATGTTAGAAACTTAAGGTGGAAGGGATAGAAAACCAGTAATTAGGCCATACACTTCAGGTATTTTCCATCCATGACCAGTTTAAAACGGTTAAAGAGCCAGTTTATTCAAATTCTAAATATAAAATATAAAGAACAGACTAATTTCTCAAAATGGAAACACAATCAACAGAGATAAGATGCCTCTGCTTGTCTGTGTATGCATCTGCCTCAGCAAGGAAGTACACACTCTGCATATTGAAAATTAATATGATTTTTTAGGAATGTGAACACCCTACAGCAAATAAAAAAGCAACTATTGGCAATTAGTTAAATTCCTTTTATGGAGTTCTAATGCTAGAATGAGTTCAACAAACTAACTAGTAAAGTGTAAACAAACTAACTGGCTGTTTGGTCTAGTTATAGCTTCATAGAAGTGCTATTAGAGTAGAGTTTTTGCAGAAGTGCTCAATCAGCAATTATTACTTGAGAGACATGGTAATCCTTATTGAAAGATAAAGAAGTTTCCACTAAGCCAACACATAAATTCAGATTGATGAAAGTTTGAAAAGATAATAACATAACTAAATAAATGTGTGGGAGGAAATGTTTGTGCACCACAAACAAAAGCATGACTAAAATGTAAGGATTAGCTGTAAAAAGGCAAATATCAAATATAAATCTATTTCTTCATTTGGAGAAAAGTCCCTATAATTAGGTGGTAATTCTGGTTTGCTAGGGGTATCATATTCATAATTATGTTGATATTTTTACGTTGGCACAAAGTGGTAAAAAATAAATCTTTTTCTTACAGCAGGTGATGTAATTATGTAACTTTCCAATGAATAAGTTTGCCACATTTTGAATTTTACTTCAAAATTTTATAGTAGGTTGAAGTTATTTTATTGTTATATTTGGAATTTTCACCCCTAAAAGTCACCACAAAAAGAAACAGGGAACCTAACATATTCTTTTCCAGAGGACAGAGATACTTAAACCAACTTTAAAAAGAATATATGAACAAGATTTACATAGAAACTTACCTTTTTATGATCATCAGCAGTGGCTGCTTCAATATCATGCTCTAGATAAATCCCAAACTTTTTATGGTAGTTCTGTTTAATCAATTGAATCTGAGAAGGGGTGCGTGAACAAATTATTTCAGTTGCAGTTCCAAGACTGCTTCTCAGAAATGCCTCCCTGAGGATGAAAGCATCACGTTCAGCAGGATCATGCATCCATAGCAAAACAGCAGTCTGACATAGGAAAGAACAAGTGTAAATTTATTTTTTAAAGAAAAAGGAAGAACATTGTATGATATATGGAATTAAAGATTGATGTATTACCAAAAGCTATCCATTCTACAATACAAACCCAACAAAGAAATAGTGTACAAATTCTTCATATTTAGAGCAATGGTCAAGCATGTATATCCAAGCTAATAGAATCCACCATGCAAAAATGGTTAAACCTGTAATTATCTATTTAGATGACCACCCACAGAATTATTCTGAGAGGACAATAGTTTGCTTTTTTGAACAGCCTGATGGGACCATTCTAAAACAATAACCCTTTTCATCTTCCAGGGTTTAACACTTTGATACCACACAGGTGTCTCGGAAAACTTGTCTGATTGCCATAATTAAATTCAGTTAGAACAGGATCACAGATATGAAATTATGAGATTAATACCTCTAGGTTTCCTGTAAGCTCATCTTTCAGACGTTTGCTAAGGTCATCTTTATCCTTTGTTAATATTCTAAACTCCTGTTGAATTAGAGCACGCTGTGTTGCATCTCGATGTGCAAGAATATTGATCACTGTACCAGTATCACATCCAAATCCTGCTGGAAGTAAAAATATTTCACATCCAAATGAAAAAGAAAAATGGAAAAAAAAGAAAAAAAAAAAGAAAAAAAAAAAAGGGAACCCTCAGATATTTACTTCTGTTAAAAAGCTGAAATAAGAATCCAATGATACAACTTAGTTCTTTCATTCTGTTAATCTAAAAATTAAATTACAATCCATACAATATGAGTAATAAATTTATATTATCTTTGCAAATTACCAATGGGAATAGTGTAGTGTAGGTTGTCCTCCCAAATATTTTTTGAAGGACCTGCCTAGAAACTCACATTGTAATTACTATTTTCTAAAACCAATCGTTGGATTAAATAATCTATTCATGCAAAAGATACATGTCAATTTTGCAAATTGATCTAACATTTATAGCTCGTTAATCAAAGAAACTCTATTTAGTGACATATATTTAATGGTGTCTAGATCTACTAGATCAATCTGAAAATTGTCATGCATGGTCTATATGAATAAAACTTTCAATTAAACTGTTGTTTTTAAAAATATGAATAAAAATATGATGTTTTTAGAGATGTATGGAGGAATTCTAAATGATGTTTTTAGAGATGTATGAAGGAAATCCTGTCAAACACTTTTCCCATTACCAAATAACTTGCTCCAATCTAAATGCTTGAAATTAATATAGCTTTCTCAACCTAAAGAAACAAAAATTCAAACATCACCAAACAGCCAACCGGTAAAAAATAGCATTATAAGACTGTTAAACTTCCGAATTAGTATTCGAAGATAAATGTTTACAGAACAGCAGCAAATTCCTTTCCGGCTTTCCCTCCTACTTTACAAGCAAAAAAAAAAGGGGGGAAACAGGTATTGCTTTGGAAGAGGAAAAACAAAAAGAGCACATGGTGACAAGAATTCACAAAAAAGTCTCAAAAAATTTACAAACCCCACAAAAAAACCCAATTAACCATTACAACCACTTCTTTCTTTCTTTTTTTCATTTTTCATTTTTTTTTTTTTTGGCGCAAAAAATTGAACCCAAACAAAACCAATACAGAGAGAAGAAGATAAATTCTTACCCTTGAAAGCTTGGAGAAGATTAGCGGCATCATCTCTGGGAGAAGTGAGAACCGGAGGACAGATCAAAGTCGACATTCTCCTTTTTCTCTGAAATGCAAAATGGTAGAAAATAGCTCAGCTGATAACCTTGACTCCCACCTTTTTTTTTGTATTTTTGGCTTTGACTTATAGGTGTGTAAGGGCCAGTCAGGCGACGACACGACCTCCGCGTTACTGTTCATAGTTTTCAAAATTGGAAGTTTTGTTTATTTATTGGGCATAACCACGGGAACCGCTGCCTGTCTTTGACTAACCCGTCGCCCGTTAACCAATAAACTTCGGGTATTTTAACCTATAAATTTTAGGTTATTATTAAAATTTGTTTAAAATAAATAAAATTTTATCACAGTGGGTCACATGTCTATCTTTATTTTGTTACTTTATGCTTATTAGGGTTATATTAATATAAATATAGCCTATTTAAACTTAAAAAGACAAAAAAAATCTCACTTAAAAGTACATATATTAGACATGATTTTTCCAGCTCCATAAAACTAAGTAGAATATATTTGTGCCAACATGATGTTAATTGGATAGAGTAACATAGTAGAAACAGTTACATAACTTATATAATGATATTTTCTTTATTTTAAGTCATTATAATATATTGTAAAATTTATGGAAACAAACAAAGTATATGTTGAAGAATTAATAGTTTTAAAAATAAATAGTTAGAGAGGTTTCAGGTTAAGCCTATTTATTAGTTTTGATATTTTTTTAATAAGATTTTACTGGTTTTATTAGGGTTTTTTAAGTTACATCATTAAATTACAAGTAAATGATGTACAGTAATAAATACATTTTTAAAATTAAATATTACGAGTGTAAAATATAGTAATTCACAATTAAACAACTAAAATTAAAATTAAAATTTAATTTTTATACAAATTAAGTCTATTTTTATTTTATTTATTATGTAATCTCTTTTCAATTAATAAACCATCTCTATTTTATTAAAAAAAAGAAAAGAAAAGAAAAAAAGGTTCAATTACCCTTACAAGCCCCCTGAACTAAAGTTGATGCATATATATTCTCCATCTCGTTGATTAGTACAAGTAAACTTGATTGATTGTGTTAGGCGACACTGATGTGGCAATATAAATGTTGATGTATATGAAAGTGCCTTTTTTGACTTTTGATCTTTTTTTTTTTTTTCTTAAATGATATAGTTATAATCTTTTTGTATAATTATTTTATATAATTTTTATATATCATTAAATAAATATTTATATATCATTAAATAAATAGATATATATAATATCACAAATTCAATTAAGTAAAAAAAATTAATTATTAATTGACACATAAAAATATTATATGTAAATCATCTTTTCTTTTTAAATTTTTAAAATTTTGGCAAAACTCAAAGATCCCTCCGCATCAACATCTAGAACAAATGGAGTCAATCCAACCGTTAGTTATAAAGGGTTTATTTGCACTAGTTGAAGGGTTAGATGACTTATATGTATCATATATAGTGGATGCTTTCTCAATATCCATTTCACTTCTTTAATGCTTTCTCAATGTTCGGGTCAAACGAAGACCGTTCATTTTTTTTAGAAGATATAATTCAGTCCTTATACTTTATTTCTTGCGATTAAAAATTATATAAATTGACTCTTTTATTTAACAAAATTTACAAATGAACCACACTTAGGTCTTCGGGTCCAGTAGCGTCATGTTATGTATAAGTGTATTCCCTCCCTCCCGGGCAACGGTTTGAATCCGACCTCTTGGGAATTTGTTCAAAAAAAAAAAAACAAAAAAATAATTTACAAATGAACCCTTTTATTAGAGATAATGTCATTTTTCGGCCTTGCTTTCTATTGCCTTGTTGCTCAAGTGGCCAAAAAAAGAAGAGGAGAGGGAAATTCCAAAGATAAACTAGTTGAGGTTTAATTATTAGTTATAAAATTAAGAATATCTAGCAATATTACCCAAGGACTTCTATAAAATAGTGAAAAAGTGTCCAAATAAATTCATTGTTTAATGCCCAATAAATTAAGTTTGGACCCAATATTTTTTTTCTTGAATTAAACACATTTAGTAATTATATATCCATCTACCCTATGTATAAAAATCCCTTAAATTGATCAAAATTCTTATTTTATTCCAAAATAAATATCAAAATAAATGCAAAAATTATTAATTAAGAATTGATACATACAAAACAATATATAACAACAAATGCAAATTCAAAAAATAATTTGAAAAGGGAGTAGTATTTTAAGTGGAACTTCTATTAACTTTGGTCACCCATCCCCAAGTATGAGTCAACAAAGTTGAGAAGGGAGTAGTATTTTAGGTGGAGGAATCATCATAGGGTTCCACAAATAAAATTATTTTATGAGTAAATTATACACTTCATTAAGATTAATTAAAAAAATGCATACATATTCTCCATCTAAAAATAAATAAATATAGATTTAAAAATCTTTCAAAATCAAACACAAATGAGTTTAAAATTTTTAAAATTTGGTTTGAAAGTGTTATATTGTGTTTTATTGGATTATGGTTGTAAAGTTTTCTTTATTTTTGTCTTTTACTACTTCAAAATTAAATATATAAAATATTAATTAAAATTAGTAAAAATATATAAAAAAATATCAAATTAATTAAGAATAATAAATTTAAAAGTTTATTTCTCTATTAAGTTAATTCCTTGGCAATTTGAGCTAAAGGAAGTATAAGGACTCATGCTAGGTTGTGTAATTTTTGCCAAGTTATGCCTAGTCAGCACCAAGTAAGCTCATGTTAATAACATAACAAAAACCAAGACGAAATGATAATATTATCCTTAATGAAAGGGTTCATTACTTCATTTACATGTTTTCTTAAGTAAAATGGTTGATTTATACTGGTTTTAAGTAGAGGGGTTGATATACCACAACAATTAAAGTAAAGGGGGATGAATGCAATTCAAAAAAAAAGTAGGGGGTTGAATTACCCCTTCCTCTTATAAAGACATATTTGAAGTCCCTTAACTAACTCATTTATACACATTATCACTTGAACTATTTTTAGACAAATAAATCCTGAACAACATGCATTCAATGAATCTTTAGGTTAATTGATTAAAAATGATGGGTTCTACCCTTGCAAATGGTAAGTTTGTTTAAGTTTTTCTTAAATTGTGTAATAATGAGTTGGGTTACTTTAATAAAAAAAATTAATTAGTTGACTATTGTATTTAGGGATAACATGCTATATGTATTTGTTACTACAATAGAAAACTAAATTTCCCATAAAGGCATCAATCATCCTATAAGCAACTCTCGAAAATAAAGCTTTACCTAATAACTCCAAAAGACAAACTATGCTAAATTTTGCTTATTTTTAAGTGGGTCTATTAGTTTTTGGCCAAAATAAAAAAAAAATGGTTTATTAGTCTATAAATATTGCAAGGGGCAGAGTACTTATAAATATACATGAGTTAGTTTTTCACTCAAATACTTTTGTTTACAAAGATACCAAATGACCACTCTTGGTTCTTTTTTTGAAGATTTTACTCACCCTCAAGTATTACTTCTTCAAACATCTCACTCTCAAGATCACAAAGAAATGGTAAAAGGGAAGATTACAAAGGATATAATCTATCTAAGATCCAATTTATAAGTATAACCTTGAAATTTTTGAAAGGATTTACAAAATTAAACTCAAATCATGTTGGTAGATCTTTTAATATGTGTGTAGAGGTTTCTCAACATATTAACAATTATATTCATTGATTTACAATTGAAATTAACTGTTACTAGCCATGGATAGCTGTTAGATATAATGCAATGCTCTTGAAATTCAAAAAATAACTATTGCTCTTTGACAATATAAGTTGGCTTACTTGCCAAAGTTGGCTTTCACTGATTTCTCTTGAGATTCTCCCATTTTGTTTTAAGTTGGCTACAAACTTTTAAGCTAACTACAAACTTTTAAGCTAACTTATAATTTAAAAGCTTGAAAAATCAATAATTTGAATGTTTTGATTACTATAGTATTAAATGCTTCAGGTGAACCAACTTAGCTTTGTTGATTGTTTCCCATGCTTGCCATTTTCGAACAATTTGAATCCTTGGTAACTAAGCTGGCTGTGACTCCTTAAACTGACTCTATTGCTTTGTTATTCATTTATGACTTTCACACTTTGCCCCAACTTTAAGTTTAGTTTGGGCACTCTTATACCAGTGAAAAAATTTGAGCTTTCTACTTTCAAATCATCAATTTTTGGATTGTAACTTATATTATAGTTTGATTTATTTTTAAATGAACCAATTGAGATCAATTTTGAAATACATGAAAAGTTTTTAATTTTTAAAATTTTTGCATACTAATGCAAAATTCATTAGACTTTTTACAATAATTTTGTTATTATCAAAAATAAACTCAACACAAGTAGTACCGTGATAGCCATTTCAAGTAAACATAAAATTCTAAAAAATAAAAGTTATTTTTACTTTGAAATGTTAGTGATTTTTTGCACCTTGTAACAAAATTTATCCTAATTCACTGATATTGGAAAAAAAAATTTGTATTAAAACTAATTTCCAACTTAAAGGAGGAGAAATTTTGTCATTTTGTTAAACATTATCAAAGAAAATAGAAAAGTAAAACTAAAATATGTAAGAGTTATTTAATTTTTTTTAGGATTTAGGATGCAATTAAAAACTCTTTCAAAAGTTAAAAAGGGCGTTGTCTTCACACCTCTTCCTTTACCCCCTTAAATACTACGTACAAGAATTTGATCAGAATTGATATCCATTAATAAAAAAATATTTTTTTAAGTTAAGATCAATAATTAAAACTCCATGCAAAATAATTAATTCCTCGATATAAAAAAGTATATAAATAATTAAAAATTTGTTGTTTTATAATCTATCATATACATAATTTATAAAACACTTTAATTTCATGATCAATAATATTTCCATTAACCCCACTAATTATAAAAACTGAAATATTTATTGTCTACATAAAATGAACTACAAAACACATTTTCTTGTAGAGTTAGAAATCTCTTATGATCTGAATATAATACCTATTTTTGTATCCTCCTCCCCCAATTTCACAAGTTAAAAATAAAACG